CATCCTCGGCGCCATACAAATCCACCACTTCCGGTGCACCAGTTCCTCTCCGTCCCGCGGCGTCTTTTCTAACCCTAGCTCTTCCAATCGCGGGGTTCGAATTGCGGAATACCTCCCGCCAATTCTTCAACAGTGCGACCTTCTCTCCCTCACCAGGCTCATGCAGCGCAATTTTCAGATCGTCAGCGGGGCTTTTCCACACCACACCCTGGAATGCTGCGATATCGAACAAACCCTTGGAGGGGTGCTTCCAACTGCGTTTCGTGGGCGGAATACCCGCGGAGAGGGTCTTTTGGGCTAGAAGGGCGTTGAGGGCACGTTGACGTCGGACTGCGGTTGGGTCTTGGTCGTAGTAATCGTCGGAGAGATCGTCCCAGTCGCTGAAGAATTCTTCAGCTTCGAGGGCCGGGTCATCATAGAAGATCAAGTCATTTGTTGCGGTTGCTGTTGCGGCGAGATCGTCCTATAGTATATTGCTGTGTTAATTTTGGGTCATCTGAAGGGATTGGGTTGGGACAGAGGTATAAGAGGTGGAAGAAAAAAAGGGGTGGAAACGTACAGCGACAGTTGGATCGGGTTCTTCTACCCAGAAGATGTCTTCGTCATATTCATCATAGTAATCTTCGTCATCAGACATGGTTGCCGATGTGAGAAAGTATTAAATGTGGTGAGGGTGGTGAAAATGTAAGCAAAATTGGGGATGTGGCCGATAGCGAATGAAAAGGGAAGTAAACGATCGCACAACAAAGCAAACAGAAGAGAGAGTTCAAGACAAATCCAATGGAAAGCGCTGCAATAGGCGACCACTTCAACACAATTAAGGGTAGGTAAACTCGAAGCGCAGATCAAAAGCCACTCCTCAGGCACGGCGCAGGACGTGATGCAATGGTCTGGCTGGCTGGAATCTTGAAAAAACCGGCGGGTGGATCTCACCCGTCACGTGCCCGCTGCTTCCCCGCAGCTGCGCTTTGCGTCGGCTGAAGGGGTGCGTTGCAGCGCCGTACAAGAAGCTCGGCTGGGGGAGCTTGGTGTCATTCCAAATCCATGTCACTCGTACTTTTGGATATGCTAGCTGCTTTATGAACGTGCCCTTTCCCTGTGGTGTTGGATCATCTTTTCGTGGCACTTAACTGATCAGCCGCCTCTCTTACAATGCCGCTCTCCTCTCTTCTCCGCACTTCGTCCCGCCTGGGGCCGCCGGTAGTTCGAAGGTTCAGAAGAGCGGCCTCCACTGTGTCCACCACGACGCCCAAGGCTGAGAAATCACTGGACTCTATTTTAATCGCAAATCGAGGAGAAATTGCGCTGTGCGTCTGAGCCCTGAGTGAAGATTTCTGGTAGTTTTGTTGATTGTCAGTACTAATATGGGGTGATCTGTTGCAGTCGCGTTGGACGGACCGCTGCTCAACACGGAATCCGAGTAACGACGCTCTACACCGATCCGGATAGCAAGTCTCAGCATGCGCTGAGCTCGCCATTTGCCTTTAACTTAGGATCCGTCTCCGCTTACCTCGATGGAGATCAAATTATTGAGATTGCCAAGAAGGAAGGCTGCCAAGGGATACACCCCGGTTACGGCTTCGTGAGTGCTGTCGTTACACACAAGCTGCGAAGATACTAATATTTCCAATCCCGTTTCAGCTGAGTGAGAATGCGGCATTTGCGCGGAAATGTACGGAAGCTGGATTGATCTTCATTGGACCTCCTTGGAAGGCTATCGAAGACATGGGTGACAAGAGGTAACATGATGAACGTACACTTGTGAGCATAGGCTGACAGTCATAAGTCAATCCAAGAAGATCATGACTGCTGCTGGAGTACCGTGCGTACCCGGTTATCATGGCGACAACCAGGATGTCAACTTCCTTGAAGCCGAGGCCGACAAGATCAAGTACCCCGTGCTGATCAAGGCAATCAAGGGCGGCGGCGGAAAAGGAATGCGCATCGCTCATACCAAAGCCGACTTTCAGGCACAGCTGCAGTCTGCCAAATCGGAGGCTATGAATTCATTCGGGGATGATCACGTACTGGTGGAGAAGTACATTACCACACCCCGCCACATTGAAGTGCAAGTCTTTGCAGACAAGCAAGGCAACGCTGTTGCTCTGGGAGAGCGGGACTGTAGTATACAAAGAAGACACCAGAAGATCCTTGAGGAGTCGCCTGCTCCGCACCTTCCCGATGCGACAAGAAAAGATATCTGGGCAAAAGCCCGATCTGCTGCGTTGGCGGTTGGCTACGAGGGTGCTGGTACTGTGGAGTTCATCTTCGACAATGATACTGGCGAGTTCTTCTTCATGGAGATGAACACTAGACTCCAGGTGGAGCATCCCGTCACCGAAATGGTTACCGGTCAGGATCTTGTGCACTGGCAGCTCAAAATCGCGGAAGGCGCCCCACTTCCCCTAACCCAGGAAGATGTGGAGGCTTTTATGGCCAGTCGCGGTCATGCTATCGAAGCTAGGATTTACGCTGAGAACCCTGACCAGGGTTTCATTCCAGACTCCGGCACTTTGCTGCATGTCCGTACTCCTGCCGCTACTGATGATGTGAGGATAGACGCCGGATTCGTTGCAGGCGACGATGTCTCGGCACATTATGATCCCATGATCGCAAAATTGATTGTGCGGGGCAACACTCGTGAAGAGGCGATCCGCAAACTTGCGAATGCATTAGAGGAGTATGAAGTGGCGGGTCCAATCACGAACATTGAATTCCTGAAAACTGTCTGCAGAAGTCCTGATTTCATTAGCGGGAATGTGGAGACCGGCTACATCGAGAAACATCGCGAAGAGCTATTCACACGGGAGGCAATTGAGCCCGAGGTGTTGGCCCAGGTGGCTCTGGCCTGTCTTCACCACGATTCGAATCCGGGAAGTGGAACGCAAGCCAACTTTGAAGGCGCTGCCGTTGGCTTTGGCCCAGGATACCAGGCACGACAGATCTCGCTTGCAGAGCTAACACCGGGAACAAAGAACGACTCCAGATTTGACGTTAGGGTGCAACAGACGGGTGACGACACATTCAACGTCGATGTTGGGGGACGTTTATTCGAGCAAGTTGTAAGCCATCGTGATCCAGCTTCGAAAGTTGTAACCTCCTTCTTCCCTCACACACGCCTGGACACGACGGTGATCCGCGATGAGGACACGATCATCGCTTTTCAGCGGGGTACCCAATACCGCCTGACGATTCCACGCGCCAAGTGGATGGAGAAGGCGTTGGGAATGAAGGACGTCACGAACAGCGTTCTCGCACCGATGCCATGCAAGGTGCTGCGTGTGGAGGTAGAGGCAGGCGAAGTGGTAGCAAAGGATCAGCCACTGGTGGTGATTGAGAGTATGAAGATGGAGACAGTCATCCGCAGCCCACAGAGGGGCACCATCTCCAAGGTGGTACATAAAGCAGGAGTAAGTCACGCGGCCCCTACCCCTTCCCGGTCATGACCCCCAGCACCCCTGAAGAAGACTACCTTGTCCCGAGACTGGGTCGATCTGAGCCTCGCCATGCTGGAACAGCCCAGGTTAGGCCTGTCAAGGGACATCTGCGTTCTCTCTTCAGCTCACAGGCATTGCTCCACTCCAGCTGTCAACGCGTATACTTCAATGCTGGCCATTGCTAACAGGTGCTTTACAGGATCAATGTAAAAGCGGGACACCGCTGGTTGAATTCGAAGAGGGCGGTGAGTAAGTGATACGTGGTTCAACTCTGACCACGTTGGGGTGACCAGAATCCGGGATCTTTGTGGCATGTACACCGGTGACTTGGATGTAATGTATGGAGTTACTGCCGTTTGAAGTACACAGTAGTCTGAGAATCTACTCCGATACTGATGGAAACAAGAAACAAATAACATAGTTGCAACAAAGTGCTCTCCAACCGGGGAGGTCTGAGCATGCTATGTGGACATGTAACCAGAATATATGTTTTGAGCGGTCTTTCAATGGCGGACAGTCTGACATGTGCAGCGGTTTGACTAATTGCATACTCAATCTGTATAACCTTTCATTTGCAACCGCGCCACGCAGACAATGCTTTGAAGAAAACCACGAGTCTAGACTCTACACAACACATTTGTACAATATAACATCAGAGATGGGTCTCGAATCGAGCTAGCTGCCATCCTGACCCAGTGGTCTCCACACCGTACCCACCCGTCACTTTTAGCGCACTCAAACCCGAACAAGACTATAGACTACTTTGTAGACAGTAGATTGGTGGTGCACACATCACGAGTTGACCGATCATTTAAGCTGAGTAGTAGCAGTACTTTGTACCAAATATTCAGATGGTTTCTAGCATGAAAATAGCAGCAATCAGGCAGCCTGAATGTATTGGAGGATGTGGTTGTGTTGGGAGGTTTAACTTTCAATGTAAGTTTCGTCCTAACCATGGACAAAAACTGGGGTAAAGCATTTTGGTAGTGTTACTGATCTCAACTTTAAGATACTCAAACCAAAATCCAAACCATAGGGTAGAAATGCAATGACCTCGAAAGACGAGATACTGATCATGTGGTCAAGTGAGATTAAAGACCCACATCATGTATATCAGGCATGCCGGTACTTGAGTAGCGCCTTGTAGCCCGACGAATTGAGTTTGACATCTCGCATCATCCGTAGTGGCTACTTCAGGTGCCCAATGCGCGCCGGGAGCTTCGGGACTTCTCCCGGTGAGTGTTTTGGAAGACGATAGAGTCTATGGGGTGGTTGAGCCTATAGTGCATGCCGATAAGAGGCAAGAAATTCTGTAGAGAAATAGAAAGAAAGTCAAAGAACCTCAAAACAAGTATCCTGATACATGGGGGTTTGATAACGGTGGCGTAGGGGCGAGTCACGCGGACTGCAAAGGAAGCTTGCAGCTCCAGTCGGGGAGCAGATCAGCGTCCGATCGCTGCATGGCGATTGGGGCCTGGCCCTGGCTATCATCGGCGCCTGACATCAAATTGAAACAAGTCAGAGAAAAATACGGAGTACACGAGCTGCAAAATACACTGTCACCACAACTTCCTGACAGCAAAGCTGATCTGACTGGTTTCTTCTCGCTATCCTTGGCGGATGCCAGTCTCTGCAACTTGCAGCTCTGCTTATTCGGGGCCAATTTTATTATTGCCATGGATGTCCTGCTCAATCATCTGCCGAAAGGTACTGCTTGGGATTCTTCTTGACGTTTCTTTCATTACTATCTCTGTGTTGTCCTGATTTGCCGCCGCGGGGAAACATTGCCATCGTCGACACAAGGGAAATTCTGGCCATTCGAGCCTCTCCTTCTCATTTGCCTGGACCTAAGATAGGCTCCACCACACCTTTTGTGACCAAATAATTCTGTGTTAAAGGTAAGTCGGATATCATGTCCTAGCAATTGCCTCCTACAGCACACGATTCACTAAGGCATCACTTCATTACCTCGCTGCAGTTGAGCACCATTGATGCCCATTTAATAGTAATTTCAGAGCTTGCTTGCTTTACTTCACATACACAATGTTCAGATCCACCCTCGTCCGTCAAGCTGCTAAAACACTTTGTCGGTCGCCACGGCCCGCTGTGTTGGCAGCTACAGAACAGCGATCTTTAGATACCTTTGTCCGCTCGCTCTCATCGACAGCTCTCCGTCTGAACAAAGACGATGATATCAAGAAAGACCCCTTCCTAACAGCGACCAACAAAGCTCCTGAGGGCACATTGGGAGAGACAGAGGGTCGTTTTGCGCGTACGGACGAGAATGTCAAGTTTGAATACCCTGATGACGAGAATATGCCTCGGTCTCCGATCGTTCAGGGCCGTGGTGGTATGCATTTCAAGCGTACACTGGCTCAGTTTTCGCTCGAGAACAGGGTTACTCTTGTGACTGGTGGTGCTCGTGGCCTGGGATTGACCATGTCCCAGGCAATTGTAGCTTCAGGATCGGATCTGGCTATTGTTGACTTGAATAGTACGTGCTAAGCATACCAGAACAATCACTTGGAATCACTGACACTACTCTAGGAGAGGAAGCGCAGGACCAGGCCGCAAAGCTCGTGGAGCAATTTCAGAAGGAGAACCCGGGTCTTGAATCTGATCAGTATGTTGATTTAATTCAAGCAGAAAAACTAAGACGCTGATAGCTCTTCAAGATTGCCCACCGTCACCGCTCACTACGCCGATGTGTCCAACCCCGAATCTGTGAACAATGCCATTGCAGAAGTCATTGAGAAGCACGGGAAGATTGATCACCTTGTTACCTCTGCTGGGTTTACTGAGAACTTTGACGCCATCTCGTATCCTTACGATCGAATGCAGAAGTTGTGGGGTGTTAATGTAGATGGGACCTATTTGTTCGCTACCGGAGTCGCCAAGCACCTCATGGAGCGCAAGGCACCGGGCAGCATCGTCATGATAGGTAGCATGTCTGGTGCTATTGTTAACGTTCCCCAGCCTCAAGCCCCCTACAATGCAGCAAAAGCCGCTGTCCGTCACCTTGCTTCTTCTTTCGCCGTTGAGTGGGCCCAGCATGGCATTCGCGTTAACTGTATCAGTCCCGGATATATGCTCACTGCACTGTGAGTATCCGCGTGGGTTGGTTTTACTGAAAGCTGCTAATGTTTTATAGTACTCGGAAAATCCTCGAGGAGAATCCTGAGCTCCGCGACAAGTGGATATCTCTTATTCCTACCGGCAAGATGGGTACTCCAGAGGACCTGATGGGTGCTGTTACTTTCCTTTTGAGTGATGCTTCCCGCTACGTTACGGGAGCTGATCTCCGTGTTGACGGTGGCTACACTCTGACTTGAAACACAACTGACTATTACGATAATACTTACTGTACGAGATATGATTCGCATATTATGAGATCTTCTAGGGACCTCGCCTGTTGATAAAATGAGCTTGTTCATAATATAATGAGGCGTGTGATCTATGTATTCTCGCGGTATTCGGCCCGGGATCCTTTGTTCTTCTAGCATACATTGTTTGTGGCAAAGATGTCTTTTGCAATGGTGCTCATTGTTAAGGAATTTAGCATGATCCTGAAAGAGAGATAATTCTGCTTTACTCTGGAATTAGAATGAGCAACAAGAGGCTGTAGGCAGTGTAAGATCGTCGTAACGGATACCTGCTTAAGCAGATTATAGATGAACAGACAGCATATCATAAGTAGATGTAGACACTATCCACTACAGTCCGATATAGAGCTAAACTATCTGTGTCCAACTCTGGTAATAGCCGTGATGAAACAACATTAGAAACCCCCAAACCCCGAAATGAAAAGGACCAGCTTAGCAATTGTTCGACGCGGTCTGGCTCATCTGATGTCAAATATTCTGGTCGACCTCTCCAACGCTTCTTTCTCCATATTCCTGACCACCTCCCCGCTCATTGCGCCATGTACATATGCTTCTCCAACTAGCTCATAGGTATCTTTCCCTACAGGATGCAAAATAACCGGAACACTGCATCCGAACAGAATACAGACTTTGTCCTTGATGGATGTATTCCTTGGGCAAATACCAAACCAGTCTTCCGTTCTTTCAGAGTCCGATTTCGCATCTTGTTCAGACGTGTGGTTGCGCCCTTGTTGCTCCGAGAGTGTTACCGTCTTTGGCTCATGGGGTACGAGGACATTCGGATCATCTACCCCTTTGCTGGTGTCCACCGGCTCTTCCTGTCTAGCCTGGCTAGTTTCTTCTTGACCCTGTACGTGCTTCTCGGCATTTTTGCTGTCCTCTACTGGCTCAATCTCTTCAGCCTGCTCAACGGCATCTCCACCCTGTACGAGCTTTTCGGCATCTATGATATTCAGTTCAGCATCGATAGTCTCCTTGTGTTCTGTTTGGTCTGCATTCTCGACCACAATTTCAGGGACATCATCGCCGTCATTGGAAGCTTGCAGTTCGGCATTGGCCTTAGCATCGCCTGTAGCACGATGTATGTCAGATATATGCGCATCTTCGTGACTCGCCGCCCCGAAGAAGCAACGATTCCATGTCACTTCTCGGACTCTTCTGAGGTAATCCCGGACGAAGACCACCTCATCTGGGAGTTGTCCAGTATTGAGGTCACCGCCGCTGAACATGTCAGCTATTTCGAGACTCCTCAGACAAGCTCGTTGATACCAAGGGGGAGGCGACAGTCCGTTTGAGGTTCTATCCGCAATCAATGTCCGCCAAATTCTAGCCGGAACAACCTTGGGACCATTGTCAATTCCTTCCCAGCCACCGAGCCTGAGAGACTCTCGAAATACCACGCCAGCACTACAACGCGGAGAAACCTCTTCCACCGTTCCCAGAAGCAAGCCACTAACTTTCATGCACATTGGGTTTTCGCCAAACGTGACACTCTTTGCTTGCATGCCATTCGAGGCGTCGTAGATCTGCTGGCCTACGATTCCGACAAAGCTTCGTCCATTCTTTCGACCTTTGTGGGACTGTCCAGGACCACCAAATTCTGCATTCTCCAGCAGAGGAACCCAGCTCGGAAGTAGACTGTTATTCAGGTAATCTTCAGAAGACCTGAGCAGGGAGCGTTCCTCAAGCTTGGGCAGTTTTGCCCACGGGCGACAGATAATGTCTAGCGAGCCGGATGCTTCCACGCAATACTGGGTGAACTGCTTGAAAACGATATGGATGGGGGTTCCATAGTCTACATGCAGTTTGGGCACCTTTTTAGGGCACTGCTGATTTTCTGCACGCTGGTGCACTTCTTCAGCGGTTTGCTGCTTCTGTGTAAGTTGGCGAGCCATTTCAATCCTTTCTTCTGAATGGTCGCGCGAAATATGTACTAGGGCGTATATCAGATCGCGTGGGTCACTGGCGTCGAAGGTCTGCAGAGTTGTTACCAGGTATTCCAGACTCCTCAATGGTTTGTGTTTGCTTCGTTCCTCGCTAGTTGGGAACAGGCTACTTGTCACCCCGAAAAGGATGTTTGCGCTCGAAAGTTGAATTTCTCCTAGGGTATTGCGCCCATACCGCCATTTGGAGGGATCGAATAAGGCTCTCACGCGCTCTTCGTTAGCCCCTAGGAGGGCAATAGCATCGACAAGCATGTCCCAATGTACCATCTTCTCCCCGCAATATACGACTGCGTTTCTCGCGAGTGATATTTCCTGTACAATCCATCGTCGAGAAAACCAGGGATCTCGGGTGAGTTCTAAAAGGGCTGCCCACTGATGAGCATTGTCTTCATTGTCGGTGTTGGCATCCAGAGTCGCCATGTCTACCAGGCGTGGAATGAATTCCATTGCCTTATCGCTTCTTTTTTCAGTGTCACTCTCGCCCAGCCAGATGCAGACAATTCTGGCCTGACTATAGATGTCAACCATACACGCCAGCTGGCGAGTCTTCTCTGCGTTATCCTCTTGATTTATACACAAGGCATCCACCCACAATTTGACGTTTTCGTCCTTTCTCCGCAACCGGTGCAATGCACAGAAGAGATTCTCCCGAATTGGCAGCGAAACCGAGTCCTCAATTCTATCAGTTCCCTCCGGGAGCAAGTAAATGTGATGGTTCGCTGACACATCACCCCAAGAGTAAGAAAGCGCTGCGTAGCCTTTCTCCTCGTCCGGTCTCTCCGCGTCAGATGTCTCCTCTTGAAAGTTGTCCTTTCGAAGACGGGCAATGAGCGGGTGGTATTTATTGGGTGCCCTACACAGGATCAGCAGCCGGAATTCGCGTTCTTCGAGGTCCATATAGATCTTCTTCTTTGCACTCTTCGATCTGCCAAGTGGCTGGGTCACAAACAAGGCACAGTTAACCTTCAGCAATTCGTCGATTTCCTCGTCAGCCAAGTTCAGATCGGGATTTTGTTTAACTTCCGTCCTGAGAGCAGCGAGGGCTTTATCCTGTTCAGTGTCGAGATATCTTATCAGTTTGGTCTTCGAAAGATGATCTTCAACACGTCGACGCAGACTGTCTTCCGCGTCAGAATCTGTGCTGGATCGTGTGTTGGATTGTGTGCTGGCAATTGGTTCAGGCTCCGAGAAATGGTCGACAACTTCTTTCTGCACTTTTTCTTCAATGCTGCCCACCACGCGGTTCAGCATTTGTAGTTTCTCCTTGGCTAATTCTGCTTCTTTTTCGAGCTTGTCGACATACTGTTCCTGCTGCTTCTCGAATTCCTCCAGCTGTTTCTTTTTCTCTCCCAGTTTGTTCAGTTGTCCACGGAAAGTCGTCAAATTCTGGTCCAACTCGTCTGCTTTCCTTCTCGTCATTGCACTCTCCTTACTCACTTTCTGGTATTCATGCCAAGCTTCGTCACGACGTTTTTCCAACTCCTTATTCTTTTCTTTTTGATTTTCCACATCTTCCTCAACCTGAACCAGGTAACTCTTTGTTTGTTTTATCTCAGAATCGATCAGTCGTGCAGTTTTCACCCATACATCGCCGTCCTCCACATCCCCCTTCTCCTCCTTCTCCTCCCTCTCCTCCCTCTCCTCCATCTCCTCATCCTCCTCATCCTCCTCCACTTCATTTCCTTCCTCTTTCTCTTCTTCATTCTTCTCGTCTTGGGAGTTTGTATCACCCCCTTGCTTTTGTCCACTTGTACTCTGCTCTGCGTCTTCTGTTGCAGGATCTTGCAAGACTTCCAGGACCTCTTCCTTCGTGGCACCCTCAACTCTATCTTTCCCCTTAGAAACAAGAGATTCAACGTCATCAGTTGGGTTGCCTTCGTCATTTACGGCTTCCTCTACTTGACCAGACCTGCCCTCCTTTCTGCCATTCAGGTCTTCCAAGTGTTGCTTCAACCATTCTTGCTCTTCCTCGTAGTACGCGAGATTTGACATTCCATCTTGGTACTCTTCGGTGGCTTGCTCCATCTCCGATTTTTTCCTCTTGGCATCCTCCTCAATCCTTGGGAGTTGGAGTTTGCGCATACTAGCGTCGTCCTCGTTCACCTGTGACTCACAGGCTTCGATTGTCTTCAAAAGCAGGTTCTTAGTCTTTGTGATCTTCACAATCTTGGCTTTAGTTTTCTCGATTTTCTCCGATCGGGTTTTGATCAGCTGCGTGAGCCTTTTTTTTGGGTTGTCATTCTTCCAACCCCCCAAGCGGATTGCCCAGCGCAGCTCTTCGAAAGTAGCTCGGTGGTCTTCTGATTGTATGATACTTCTCCATCGCTGCTGCTCCTGACAGAATGCATTGCCGGCCTTCCGAAATGCAAGTCGACCAGGGGCTAGATTTCGCATTTTGGGCTCATTTGGAAGGTCACCGTCGTTCAGTATGATAGGGCTCGAAGCACTGTCTGAACGAACTTGGTCATCTTGAGAGATTTTGTTCTTGGTGATTATCTTGGTGACTTGCCCGATACAAGAATCCGAACGGCTGATCAGTGCAGAGATACGGTCCCTTGGAATTTCTGAAACGATGGTACTCAAGGAGCCATCAGACTCATCCCCACTGTCTTCCTCCTTCAAACCAGCAAGTCGACGTACCCACGTATACCTGGAAGATCTGTTCAAAGTCATGGTGTATCAGTCGAGAGGGTTCCAAAGGCGATCTTTGTGAAGTACCGAGACTAATAACGGAACCATATCTACTCCGGAGAATCGCTTGAGCATACGGACCAACTTTATAAGCAGAGCTAAACCGGCACCTGCTATTCCTTATTCGGGCTCGGGGTATTCGGGCTTCATCGCGGTACTTGCTTGCGCACAAGATGGCGTGCCCGGAACGAACTCCTCCGGCAACATGTTCGTGCCTGGTGGGCAAGACTTCAGCTCCCCGACACTAGGGCTTCAACTTGCATATGCAGCTACATTTGTGGAGCCAATCATCGGCCCCATTTTCTTGCTTTTCTTTTCCTCCTCATCCTCAAGACTAGCAAACATCTCGCTTTGGACTATCTGACTCGTTGCTCGTCTCTGTGCACTGCCTGGACATCCCCTGTTATCTTCCCAACCCCGTCGCCACGTCAGCCCCCACCAGCAAGAACCCCCACACAGTACGGCGGTTAATGCGGCCATCGGGCAAAAACAATTTTAGAGATAGTGTTGGAACGTCTACTCGTAGGAAGCAAAGAAAGGGCAGAGAGTTGTATGTGTTGTGTTCCTATCTAGGGGTTGCGCAGCGAGGGTAGAAGTAGGGGTTGTTTGGTATGTAGGGGTCACGTGACCGAGGCTACTAGTATTACTGCTTCAACAGATAGTAATACAGGTGATAAACATCAACATCTAAAACAGCTCTGAAATGTATACTTTTAACATGTAATTTAGAGTCTACAAAGATATTAAAATCTATATATTGAAATAGAATTAAAACTTCTCTTATATTAAGACTGAAATACCAATATTACATATGTATTCGTAATACTCATACTGTAATTTACGTATTCAATCTTGTAATGTATCATATTATAAAGGCAGTGAACTGCGAAGAAAAGCGGAAAAGTATGGCAATATAAAAAATAAAAGTAATAAAGAAAAACCAGCAGAAAGTAAGAAAATAGAATACAATGAAGTTAAAGCCTGAACTAAGAAAATCATCAAATCTTAAAATTTAAATTTGAGATACTATATATAGAGTATTTCGAGTGTAGTATAAATTATCATAATTTTTATATATTTTATATATTTTATCTTTTTATTATTTGGCTTTAAAATCATCATGAAATCTAATCAAAAATACAGGCGGTGAAGAGCAACATGATTTTTGTTTTTGCCCGATGGCCGCTATTCACCGCCGTAGTACGGCGGTTAATGTCGCCGACCTGTGTGTCAAAGCTTTACACTATGTGAGTTAACTTGAGAGAATCCTCTAGAATAAGTTCGGCCTGTGTTACATCTTCTTCCTCTACCATGGAGAAAAGCGAAACCAAGCCAACCTCTCCATCGCAAGCAGGACCTCGCACCAATGTTGCATCCCAAGCTTCCCGATTTCTCTCTCGACCTCGCTGGGGTGGTCGCCATTGCCGACATTTCAACTGTCTCTCAACGCACGGTTATAACCGGTACGGCCGCTTTGCTCGACTGTCTCATTCTCTGCCCGGGCTTGCACCTCCAGCAACATGCCTCCAACCTCAACAAGGGCGAATACCCGGCCGCCGCCGCGATGACCAGCGGCTATGTGTTCCGTATTGAGAACCCAGCCACGGTGCACTACCTCCAGAGATCAGCAAGACAGCCCATCTCACCACCGTCGAAGTCGTCAATATTAGCAACCACATGAGCTCGGCGGGACGGGCCGCGAATGTCCTGTTTATCACGGCCAATGCCAGCATAAGCTCTGTCCTAACCTACGCGATAGCTGCCTCACTGACCATCGCCGTTCTAGTCTGCCTGATCCTAATGAAGTATTGGTGGGGCCTGTTCGTGATCCTGATCATGATTCTCGCGCGCCCCCTCAACGTGGTCCTAATCCGTCGTCGCAGCCGGTTGGGCTGGATTGGCGCATCCGAGACGGGCCGGTGCGATCTGCTCGTTCTACTGAGCCAAGACCGATGGGTGCGTCTTCAGGGCGCCATCGACGATGTAAAAGCCGTCACGGCGGGCCAGTGGCTCCGCGAGATGGAGCCCTATGAAAGCTGGGTTGCCGCTATTGCCACTGTGCTCACATACCTCGATGCCGCTCTTGCCAGTAACGCGAGTCAATTTGGAAAGCTTCTGTTAATCTTGCTGCTGATCGTCTCAGCTGGTCTGCTTGCTGTGGCTAATCAGTTCACAACTAAATTGCAGATGCATGGGAACGTCCTGGAGGTGAAGGGGAAGCCTCATAAGTATCGCAGGCGCTTGGATACGGCTGAAGAGCTTATCGCGGAGCATGGAGGAAAGAGGGGCTGGGCGCTGCGATTAGGGTTGATAAACTCGGAGGACTACTTTGATTCAGACGTGGAATCTCGAGGATGTTCGGCTTCGTCGGCCACCGCGTCAGGAAGCCAGGGGGTCGTGCGTCGGAAGGCGGGTACGGTCGAGGGGATACATGCCGTCACGATGTGATGTCGCATGAGAGATCCCGCTACGCGTGGTCTCCTCTATATAAATGGGATATGTAGGGAAGAAGGTTGTCACTCGAGGCTAAACTGGTAGGTTAGGTGGTCAAGTTGAACGCCAAACGGAAATCCTCGGGTGATGAGTGATGATAGAAACGATCTGGAGAGGTTATAATGTGGGTGATGTCGTCTGGACTATAAAGCCGGTCTGTAGTGTTGGGAGATGGTGCAGGACGGCCGATTGGCATGGTTGGAAGAGCGACAGCGAGGTACCGGAGTAGAGTTCGGCTCATGTTTGCAAGTAGGTCAAGTAACAAGCTATAATGGGATGGTTTTGAGGACTTGGCATAAGGGTTCCACAGTTTGGATACTCAAGTGGAGGGGGTTGGGGTGGGGGTTCGATCTTGGTAGATCCTGAGGTCTATTGAGCAGTACCAGGTGACTGACACATGGCCAGACATAATATTCTGTTGTGGGAATGGGAGAGCTACGGTATACTCTTCCTGAAATTTGGCTTTTCTTTTTGTCAACATCAATAAGCATCCACAACGAATCAAGCTTCAGAGACAGTTACCGATCGGTCAATGACGTCAAAAGCTATCCATGACTAATCCCATCTAAGTTAATCTCCTCTGTGTAACATCAAACATACATATCAATCATTCTGTCTGTCTATCTCACACAATACCCAGAGCCCAAACGCCAGAAACAAGCACACTATCAAAACAGCCAATCTATCTCTCCAGCCACTTCCCAGCCACAGCCTGATCATGACTCGCAGATTCGTCGGCCCATCTGCTTGTACACTATCCCCCTCCATGTTTCGAAGAAGATCCTCCATGTATGGTCCCGCATCGCTAACCTCTATAATACGCGCGATTGCACGATGAACAGCGAGCAACTGAGGAGACGGCAGGTCGATAGTACTACTATAGTCGGAGTCGAAGGTCAGGGTGCGGACGACCGGAAACAAAGTATCATCGTGTAAAGAGGACGAAATCGGCGCTGTTGACTGGATCGTATACTCATTAGGGAAGTTACCAGTAGGTTCAAAATATAGTTGAAAAGCGTTGAATAGCCGACGGTAATGATGCGTCATTGTTAGAGCGTTGACAAGGGTATCGAGCTGCCCGTCTTCGATGAACTGGGTTATTTCAGGATCTAATATATCCAAAAGCTGAAGAGTAGCATTCTGCGAGTTGCTCTGCGAGACCTCGTCAATATGTAGTACGGGTAAGCTTAGATTAGCTTTACCAGTTCCGTGTTATCAGCGGTGATGGTCGCCAGAGATCGGGGGAGTATGTGGGCGATTTCCAAGGGCTCAAACTGGTCCGTAGGTTCAGTGCGGAGAAGGGTTTCGTCGATATCCATGTAATCCTCACTGTCTTGTGCAGGTCGTGTTCGAGGTTCGGCCTCAGCACGTCCGTGAGAAACTACACACTGCTGATTGTCACGTAACAGGCAGCTTGCTCCCACAGCATATAGTTGTCGCATCAAGCTCTCTGTTGTAGGGGATTGCGAAGAAGGTTGAGCTGGATGTGTGGCCTGTGGCATGTCGAGCGATGAAACCCTGACTGTTGATATCGCCTGAATCAGTACTTGAACTTGAACAGTGATGACGCCTTCCGGCTAGTGAAGAACGAACGTGGGAGAAGCAAGTGTTGAATGATATGCTCCGCAAAGTCCTCGATGGCGTTCTTGGCGTTGTCCAGCTTGTCTTGACTCCATGATTCGAGGTCGTTAAGGTAGCGTAAATAGACTGTGATATCGGAGGTGTATGTTCCAGCTGTCTGGGAGCACAGAAGATGGCATATGAATGAGAAGAAAAGCATCAAGAACGAGTCTTTACATAGAGAATAGTCATATAACGCCAGAGCAAGAGCAGCAGGTTTGTATCCGTTTTCTGAAGTTTGCCCCAGGCCGTAGAGCTGGATGATCGCAAGAAAGGTGGTGAGCGCTGACTGGCGTTGGTCGGCCAGTAATTCAGGTTGCTGTGACATGTCTGACGCGGATCCAGGTGGTATGAGGTGGTGTATATAGTGTAACAGTGGCCTCAGTCTTCGTTTGCGATACCTTGGAGGGGGATGGTGGCACAGGTTTGAGATTAGACAGTACTGATGCTCGAGTCACGTGGATCAATGCAAGTCATTTTAGGCCATCGAAGATTGAATAACATTTGACTGATTGTGCTGGTGATACTGGATAGTAATGAGAGTATTTGTGGTTATAATGAGTGCAACAGGAGTGGGCTGCAGCCTGAAGTGTGGCCGGAGCACACGCTGTGTGCTTCATGCGGTTTTGAGGGAATGCAAGCCCTTTTTCAGCTGGTAGTCGTTAATGTTGTTCCTTTTGGCGTTTCCGGTTTGGAAACATATATATATAGTAATATTTATAGTAAGTAGCCTTGTAGAGCCAAATAGCTCGGATAGGCCCTGTTCGGCAACCCCAAACTCCTGATTCCCTACAACAGCATTTGCTGTGAAATATCTCACAACATAGTCGTAATTGTAACCTCTACCAAAGATCTTCCAAGATTCTCTGCAAGAAGTAGCGGTGTTTCTTGCACTTCGTATATATAGTAAGTTAGTATGTGAACACTGCAGTATCCGTGCATCGCCAACAATGAGCTACCCAGGACCATGTACAATCCGGCCACTGCTGTGCCCTACTTTGCGAACAAGCGCCTCGTAAGCTTTATATGCATAGTAATTGTCCGTGTTCACCAGAGAGCTCGAAAAACATTCATTCCAACAGGATCATGAACACTTCCACGTGTACGCCAAACAACATTGATGGCTTGCGCACCCAAGCTGGTGTTCTCCTCAGTAGATCTGTGGTAGTATCAAAGAGAACATGGTGGACGACTGAGATTGAAAGACCAGTCTCTCGTGTGGATGAAGAGAGCTATATAGAATGGTTGTGAGATACATGTTCGAGTCTGCCACGGAAGATTGGACTATTTATACGCAGGACACTACGCTCTACATATATTTATTGCACGGCTACTACCTAGTATCATTTGGCGTATAAAGCCAATCAATAAGTTTGCTCATTTAAGTGCAATGCGGATAACCCCGAATGTGGATGAGAAACCTTCGGATTTGCAGAAATCAGAAGGACATAATATAAGAGAGAGAAGGAAGAGGAAGAGGAAAGAAAGGAGGGAGAAGAAATACAAAGATATTTTTGAATGAAGATCGTGATTCTGGAGTATCCAGACAATCGAACACGGAAGTTCCCCAAGGTAGCAAATATCATCTCTCGCTAGACTAGCAGAAACACCAAACTTCGGCATATGTTACCATTTGATCATTTTACACAGGATAATATCTGGCAAGTAGGATGTGTTAATACGCCATTTGAACGAAAATCCAAGACCTGTTGGGTCGAAAGAATATGGCTAGTGAACGATAACAAACGAATTTACAGTACACTTCACCACCCGAGAGAGTACAGGCGAGTGGCCTCGACATATAGCCAATGAACAGATAGAAGAAAATAAGTGGGATCTGCGACATGCATGAACTCATGCATACTAGTCAAGCACTGCATGTCCATATCCTCGCCACGGGACGGGGCGTACCATGATGCTTGCGCAAGGCTGCTGGAAGATCAACTTGACCTTCTACGTAGGTGTGCTGTGTCAGCTTCCAAATGGTCTGCGCATTCATCTGTGGCATAAACGGCCTTTGTCTCGACCTTGACGTTGACGAGACCCTGGCCTCAGAGTACCAGGAGTTTGTTAATTGGTGCAAATCAGCGTCAGCAAGTGGCAGGGAGCAATTTTCTCCAAGATACCTGAATAACATGGGCCGCTCATTAAACCGCCGATTTTTTGCAACAGCCAATGGATTGATTCTAATGGGCGTGCCAAACACTCAGGCTGGTGACTATCTCTGCATTCTTTCTGGAAGCCCTGGATGCTTTGTAATAAGACAGGAAGGCTCTCATTGGAAGCTTATTGGAGATGCATGTTCTCGCAGGCTTATGAAGGTGAGACGTGCTTACCAATATAGGAGGCCTGTACTGATGAAATCTACAGAGGGTGTACGTGGACAAAATCATAAATCGAAACGAGTGGGAGGAACGAAGTCAATGGTTCGATATCTGGTAGCTCGTTAACACAGAAGCAACGGTCAACAGCCGTTCTCTTAGACTTGACAAGCCCTTCACTTGAACCGGAGGGTCTCCTCATCACGCAATGTAAGGTAGCTGAAAATTCATTTTTAGCAGTTTCATGTATAGAGGCTGCTTGGAGCGAAAGAGAGAAAGGCACATAGATTTCATCCAAATAAGAATAGCTAACGAAAAGCAATAATAGTGCCCACCAGCGAGGAAGTCAACCACACAGCTGTGAGGACACCAAGTATTGGGGGGCAGAACCTAAACACAGCTTGTTAGTCGATATGGACAACATTTGACATTGTGCATGCGGGAAATACGAACTCTTCAGAACTCAGACTGATGAATCCGCCCCAGAAGAGCAATTGTGCAATCCAAAGAAGAAGCAAGAAAATGGTAGTAGCCGCATAAAATTCCGCAAGACGTGGCCTGTGGGGTAGCGCGATCGGGCGAACCTTGACGAGGAGAGTGTCATAACTTGTGCGATCGCTTTGATCCCTTAATAATGGTGCTTCTTCCGGGGCCCTTAGCCTTCCGGTCGCGGGATGAAACATCCTTCCCGTTCGTATGTTGTGATATTCTATTATTGGCGGCATTCCTTCTTCGGAAATATCTAGAGACGTGAAAACGGATCCACGAGACTTTTCCAACTTGCGCATCTCCCGAATTGATACAGCAAATGCCATGATAACGGTTAATAGCCACATAAGTGCTCCGGCGTACATAATTTTCGTAGGTACCCATATCTCTATAGTGCCGAGGTAGAAGTTGTGTTCATAGCCATAATAGACTGTCATGAGTAAGTAATATGCAGATAGGAACTGAAGGAGTATTTCTGCAAATAACAGAGACGCAGCCGCGGACAGGCTCTTTGGCCCAAATTGTTGTAGACCGAGTAAGGACATCATCAGCCATGAAAGGCGAGGCATTGAACACCAGAGAAGCATCAGTTGAAATATGGGAACTTTTTCATAGCCCGGAACTTTTTGGACCAGCACAGAACTGAACAAGTTGGCAAAGATCTGGACAGTGGCAAGGAGAATGCCCTTGAAAGCCCAATAAATCGACTGCGAGTGTTCTACTGAAATGATGTTTTTGCTTTGAAGCATGCGTTTCCTCTGACAAAGAAGCAATGCGATGAAAGTAGCTATGTTTATAATAGCAAAGCTTCCAAATTTCCACTGATTCGAGGGACATGCTTCGGTTGCTTCGATGTCTCCAGGCTGAGTAATAGGGGTAATATCTGGTGCCTTGGAGGGCTTGAGAGCCCATTGCCATGGAATCATCTCGATCAAGGTGGGCGCAGATAGCTGACGCCAGTTATTTGGTAGACCGTGCCAGTCCTGAATACCACCACAAAGATCGTGAAGCCATCTGATATACTCTATTCGGGTTTCAAATATCTGGCACGAACCCTCACAGGAACCATAGCTGATATGTTGGCAAAAGCATTTCCTGTCAACTGCACGTGTGACTTGGCAGTATCCGCTAGAATCGAGCTTACACGCATCGGCTGCACATTGATCTGTAAGATCAGTAACCTTCTTCGGCATATCCATGACACACTTGGGCCAGCTCCAATCCTCGAGCGCAATAAACGCGAATTGTGTGGTCATAAGTGCATCCACCCAGTTATCGGGTAAGGACTTTGTTCCACAGGTTGCATTGAGCCACAGGCGCTGTTTCGTCCAGTCCAATCGTTCTGAATCCGAACAAGGCTCTTCTTTGAAATCTACAGCGAAGGCGCTGCAGAAGCAACCCTTGTCAAAGTAGTAGCCATCCTTTATGTGCTGCTGGACAAGGTCATAGCCAACTGTCTCTGAATCAAGAGCGATCATGGATCGCACGGGCTCGTTATATTCCCAGGGCCGAGCAGCATTTCCTGTGTGATGACTTGCGCTTGTAAAGCCACAGGAAGCCATTACCTGCTGGAAAGGCTCCCTTGAAAATGAACAGACTGAGCCAGTAAGACATCCTGGCGCCGCCTTGAGAACATCCACAGTTGAGTACCCCTCGGCTAGTGAGGCAGGGGAAAGGTTCTGGAGCTCATTTGTGTCGCCGACCTCGACAAGCCACTCTCTACCCGTGATGTCACGAATCCATGAATACAATTGCGCTTTGGCGAGTATCGATCTGCCACAGTAGGGGAGATACCTTGCAATTATATCTGGGGAGAATGCAACGCTGAGACAGGCGAGATGAGTCAACCATTGGTGATGGGTGCAACTGAAGCCGAAATGGGAAGTGCACCGTTTGGCAGTACATTTCGTCATAGTATCGAGCCAGGTGGACTGGTCTTGCTGCGCTATGCATTGTGGCATGGGCTTGAGATCTTCAGGATTTACCCAGCCATTAAAGTTGTTTTGAGGAGTTAGGAATTGATCATGTCCGTCATGATTGGGAGCGGCGGTTGAGAGCGCTTGTGCAGTACGTCCTCATATTAGTGACAAAGATGTGAAAAGATGTTGGGAGCACTTACCTTCAACGTCGGCACTATATACGCTAACAGCCAGCAGCACAAAAAGCGCACAGTATAACCTCATCTTATCGATATTAAGGCGATCTTGTATTTTGACACAGCGCGGGATGGCAACCATCTGGAATTTGAAAGATGCAGCTATGGACGGATACTTCGGAGCGGGGTAACACGAGGCTGCGAGTCGGATCAATATCAGACCGATCAAAGCCAACTCACCGGACAGGGATGCTTTTGTTGGCTGGCGATGCAGGGCGGTTATTTGAAGTTGGGTAAGAGTGATTCCTGATTTGTCTAGAGTCAAGTTACAAAGCGCAAAGGGCCGAGTTTTGGCAGCTTCGCGGCTGTCATTCCCCATCTGCTTAAGGGATATAGAGCATCATTGACTTTAGTCTTCCCAGACTATTCTAACGTCAGTATAGAAAAGGGGTACAAGTTATCGATTAATGTTTCAAGTAGAACAAGAGGTATGTCCATCCCCTCACACCACGAGGAGAAGCGTTCATTACCTTAAGCATTATTAGAAGCATTGTGGCTCAAGTCACCCAGTTTGCCCTCCGCTGGAATATATAAGGATGACTGATATTGACGCCTTTGCCAGTAGGGAAAGGATTAGAGTTGATCATAATCATAACCCCAGTAAGAATGATGATAATAGAGAAAATAAAGCTGCGCCCTACTATGGCGTAGGCAACTAAATCATCATTTTCCGAAGACCGATATCATTATTGCAACTAATCTTTTAAATTCACTAGGCTCCTTTTTCACAGGGGTAGGTAGCTTCCTGGTTGCTTTCCAGATTAATATTTCAACAAAGACCTTTCCTTTTTTTCCTTTCTTCGTCAATAGCGATCAGTATAGAGTCTCTCGCGGACCCATGCAACGGACCAAACTCAAGACCCTATAACCTTGCCTTCGCCAGCAGCGAATCCGAGAACATCGCTATGGAAAACGCCATCGTAGCTTCAAAGTCACTTGGCCAAATAAACTCGGTATTGTCTGAGAGAAGACCGACCTCGTCGGCCACCACGTGAATCTTGCTCAGTCCAAGCTGGGGAACTAGATTGACCGAAAAAGAGTTCTTGATCCTGCAGACCCTTCCTGTTTAGGAATGTTCTGCGCGGCGCTGCCTGCAGAATTTGCAGCTAAGCAAAACTATGCACACAAACACGTGGAGTCGGCAGTGTGGCCTTTAGATTAACTTTTTGACCGAATGAATCATGCAAGCCTGGCGTATGCGAAAGCCCACAATACAAGATCCCCGCTTACAGTGCCCAGGCCGCGAGGTATTGCACTCAGAAAGCGATTCTTGTGCGGCGATATACAAGGGGAAGGCTTCTAGATTGCATATACCAGTCCGTGAAGCACTGACAGCCACAGTGCGATGGTGGGCTGAAAAAATGAGGAACGTATCTGCGCGATGCCAACTGCATGGAAATCATGTGCTTTCCGAATAATCCTCCTGGGGTACCATTTATCACAGAGTCGGCAATGACTACACTGAGGGGCAAGTTGTCCTGCCTTGTGAACGCGGCAAATACTGGTGAGCAATTCACCACTCACATTATCCTCTTGTGTACTCGAATGGCATGTTATAGAACGCTATGACGTAAAGCTAGCCCAGATATATCAAGGCACTAGAGATCTGCAAGCAGCTATCGAGAGAGCATTGGTAGAGGAAGTACTCTCCCGAACCAATAGGGTCGTGATCGCAGCGGTTCGTGGCGATGGAGCAGCTAGCGTGAAGCTTCAGTCCTTCTCGATCTTCGTCACAGTTGATCGGATAGAGATAACGCTGCCTCAGTGGCTCTTGAATAGCTCAAAGCAAGTATGAGATTTGCCCTGTAATTCTCTTCAATGCCGGGCTACCAGTTGCAAAGTCTCCTGCAAGATACCAAAACGGGTTATGATGAAGCATTTCATCGTCGACGGTATGGCAGCGCTACTGCTTGATCGGGCCATATGCACCCCTCTACGGCCAAGCGGGGAAGTTAATGACCATCTCATCGCTAGCTGGATGTGCTAATATTGCGACTGATAGGCCAGAGTCGAGTCTTGTACGAGACACCTCAAAGGCCGCCCTGAACTACCTCATCTAGCGCCATGGTAGGTTTTTCAGCATTTACATCATACGCCCCCTTTGCTTCAATGGCAGTATAACGAAGAATCAAGATCCCGAACATAGCTCTTGACACCATCCTGCACGCAACGCTGGAGTTAACTTACCATATTCAGTACAAGTGATTGAAAACTCTGACTGGGTATGGCAAACTATGACGAAGATAACTAGGGAGTCTTACAGGCCACTTACCGATACAGACCCGATAGAACGTCCTAGGAAGCGGGCGAGCGGAGGCCGCGTACGGAAAACACGCAGATAGAAAACATGAACGCTTTACACATAGCCATGTCTCCCAACAGCACACCATGCAAAGTGTTAGAGGAGGAGTGGTTGAAAAGAGGTTAACCCAAATGGGACCGCATGAGCCAGTGATTTCGTCATTTAGCTTCCCACGTTTGTTCTATGAGAGTTTGTATGTGCCATATCTCCATGAGGGGTCAAACATGGTCACTCTATCTTCCTCACTGTCCACGGCACCATCTAAAAGATATATAAAGAAGGTATACTCGTTAGTCTTCATCTGTTCTTCGGAAATGGCATCCCATCTTTCCTACTCATTCTTTAGAGAGAAACATCAAAGTCATTAAAGTTTACACGTCTCAGGACGTTGCTTTCAAGTCAATCTCGAAAGCTTTTGACCGCCACTTCTCCGTTCGAGACCTGCAGCCCGAGACACGCATAGAAGAGCAATCAATATGGGGGATATCGGAACCCCTCCTCGATGGAAAGACCCCGAAATCCAGCATCAAGTGGATATTGCACTGCTTGAAGTCGACGCTGCCCAAAAAGAAGCAGATGAAGCTCGGAGAAAAATCGTACCCCTTTTGTCAAGGCTACACCGAGGTTCGGTGCTGTTTCCCAGGTCGCAGGGCTACAAATACTCAGTCTCGGTCAGAAATCTCTGCTACCGTCTGAAGAGACCTGCTGCTGTTGTACATGCAGTAACGGCATGGGATGTCGTGGCAACAGTTCGATTCTGCGTCCAAGAAAGGTTGAAGTTGACCATCCGAAGTGGTGGACACTCGAACGCTGCGCACTGTTTGAACGACAATGGTATCGTCCTCGATATGCGGATGTTGAACAAAGTGGTTATCCACCCTAATCATGACATAATCTACGTGTCTGGTGGAGCTCTGTGGAGTGATGTATATAGGGAGCTGCATGATAAAGATCCTCGTCTTATCGTGGTGGGTGGCCAGTGTCCAACAGTCGGCGTGAGCGGTTTCTTACTTGGAGGTGGTATAAGCCCCTTCTCTCGCTCGTACGGGCTGGGTATCGACAACATCGAAGCGATAGAGATCGTCAAAGCGAATGGAGAACTGTGTATCGTGAGCGCAGAAAATCATCCAGATCTCTTCTGGGCACTCCGTGGCGGAGGGGGCGGTAATTTCGGCGTCGCAACCGCATTCTTCCTGAAGGTCCATACTCTCAATCATCCCAAAGGAATGGTGACTTGTGGTACACTAGGATGGTCAGTCGAAGACACAAAGTCAAGGAAGAAGCTTATTGAAACCATGAAAAACTGGGATCAAAACCCCCTTCCCGCAGCGCTATGCGGCGACGCGCTTTGGCGATACAGGGGAGACCGCAAAACGAAGGAGAAAAGGCTCTGGGCAGAGATAACAATCATGTACAACGGTGGAAAGAAAGATTGTAACAGCGAGTTGGCTAAGGTTCTGTGCGGCAAACCTGATGTGAATATACTCAAGGAGATGAACTTCTATGACTGGGAAGTTGGAGGTGAGGCGTTTGCCAACCATTCCCAAGTCCATCAACACCACTCCTCTGTTATCATTGAAAAGGGTAGAATGACAGAACATGTTGTCAATCTCATCACCGATTGGATGATAACAATGAAAGGACATGTGCTGGAAAGCGAAAATGGGAGGTGTCACGTTCTATGGGATCATATGGGGAACAAACAAGCCAGAAGAAGTCAGACGAAACAGCCTTTCCCTGGCGCACTGGGGAGTACGCGCTTTCCATGAAAGCAAGCTGGGATAATGAAGATAAGGAGAAGGAAATGATTCGAGAAGTCCAAAGACTCCGGGACGAGCTAACGGAATATGCCATTGGAGGGAAAGCGGCGTATGTGAACTTCATCATCGACAATACATTGACTAGCTGGTGGGATGCAAATTACGATACCAACTACGAAAGACTCCGGCAGCTGCAGCAAATCTATGATCCTGAAGATTTCTTCGAGTTTCAGCAGAGTATTCGAAAACCCCAGAGCGACCATCCACAAATACCTACTGTACCATCACGCACTGCTGCAGTCCATCTGCCGGAATTGGATGAGAAGAAAGCTTTCCTCGAAGATATCGAAAAGGGTACCACGCGGACTGAAAGGCCATTCCCTCAAGATGCATCCGCTCAGTCAGTAAGCGATCTGGGATACGGCGGTCTTCACGGTGGGCGTTGTCCTGCGGTGTCATTGAAGCGATACATCCTCGGTCTTGTTTCTGGATTAAAGTCATAGGGAGGTTGAATCCTTACTTTCTAGAGCTACGCAAGGGAAATGGGTTTGAGTACTAGAGTTTCCAGTGGTATCAACTGTTTTTCGATTACGAGTGATTTATTGTTAGAATATTCTCACACATTGCCCAGTATGTATTTAGAACGATATATAAATTCTAAAATATCATCCACATAGCAAACTTCACCTTCATGAAGTAGGCTATCGCGTTCAAACACTATAAAAGGCTAATGACAAATAGCTAGGAGCATCTAATTCGAAATATATTATTTATCGATCTTAGCACATCGATGTAAGTTCTGGATAAAGCCTGCCAAAAGCAGAGTGCAGTAGTTAGGGACTTAGTAGCAGCGACATTTTCTGCCACCTCGCCCAAAGCGGTCAAAAAGTTTACAGTTTTCCAAGCACTTGTTCGCGGACTGTAAAGTCTTAAATCCGCTTAAATCCGGGATTTTTTCAACGAGGTCGACTAGGTTCTGCCGCTTTGAGCGGTATGTGGAGCGGTCAGGGACTGGTTTTCTGCCGAGATATAGAGTGTAGATATTCGAGATAGACTTTGCGAGCTCGTATTTCTCCACCCCTATCAAATATAATTTGTTTATGTACTATTGTCTTCATTTAGGGTCTTTCTGTCTTATTTTACTTTGATACTGCTAGGAACAACATGCTACTCTAAATTGTATCAGCTAAACTCTCATAAACACTCTTCTATACGCGCGGAATTCAGAGTTGACTGGAGGGGGGGGCGGCTACAGAGACAGCGCTACCTGGGTCTACTGCCGAAGCGCCGCCCGAAGAACGATGTGGCTTTCGTAAATATAATTTGGTAGAACCACACGATTTGAGTAATTACTTACATCATCTTTACTTAGTAGTAGTAGTTCTGGCGCCCTTTTCCAGAAGATAAATATACTGCTTGGGCTTGCAGTTTTGTCTTCGCAGACATTCACCATCCTAAATCAATATTCGTACTATATCCAAACCATGAAGAACCTATATCTGGCTATTACTACCATCCTCATCCTTGCAAACTATGCCTATGCCGGCCCACTGGGCTACGGAATCTGTCAGGCCGGTTGCGCAGCTGTTGTGATGGCCTGCTATTCAGCGGCAGGCTATACCTGGGGTGCCACACTCGGTGCTACAGCACCAGCCTCGATAGTGGCATGTAACGCCGCTTTCGGGACTTGTTGTGCTCACTGCGCTGCCACACTGTTGATGCCAACTCTTTAATTGTCAAGGGAACGTACAAGCAAAGTCGGTACTTGGGAGACTGACTGTGAACCTATTTCTTGGTTGGATTACATGCCAGATTGCGTTCCTCATCTTGTTTTGGTAACTATATCCGATTGGGTTGAGTAATATATGGTATTATCTTCCAAACATATGTTTGAGTTAATGCCGTGCACTGACTCGCAATGAGAGCTATTGGGAGAGAAAGAAATTATAAAAAGGGAAATTTAGACAATTTATGAACGTACACTATATGACGATGTCAAAACATGCTAGATGTGTGGCTATTCCCACAGATGAAGAAGATATTAGTGGTTATACGCCTGTAATCAGTGACCTAGGCAAATCATTAATCAAGACCATAAGCCCATCATTAGTACCCGGAGATACCCGCTGACTCCCAAATTCATACAATCCCACATATATAGTGGGGTGGACATGGGAGGGAGTGAATGTCACTGCCCTTGTAAGATTTAGAGGTGTTGAGAGGCCCGACTATGATGAATGTTCATAAAACAGTGAATATCATGCTTTGACTCCGTGTAAACTCTTCTGACTTCTGTATATGTCCGTAGTCGGTAGCTGCTGCTCACAGGTCAGGCCATTACTTAACAGCATCATTTAACCTCCAACCTCGCCTGTTATTCTCTCTCCTCCATCTACACCGCGAAGAGGTTTTGATAATATCCTGTCCCAGTGCGTTGCTAGGTGGGTGAATTGGAGCTCCCTCAAAATTACAAAAATTGGCTAAAAGCTGACATGGTTCTTGACCCAACAAGCCATACCAGATTTATTTCTTTATCAATCTAAACAAACAGCTTCCCTATGGATTTGTTTCAGAACAACAAAAGCAGTCTCACTTTCCGGACGAGTAAACGTCTTGCCCTTCTTAAAGAAGCCTTCCAGGAGTCTGGCAATGACGAGAAGGAGAAGGTACCACGCTGTACCTGGGCTATTCTACTGGTCTGCGAGATGGAATTTTTTGAGGAATATATAAAATGGTGCGCGGCTGACGGCCACAAGGATCGCGAATCCTTTAGTGAAATGGACCTTCTGGAAGAGTGGGCCAATACTAAAGAGCTATCCATGGCAAATAACTATGATGGCTCAGTCGATGAAAAGAACACCACCATAGAATCAGACAGCGACGATGATTTCTGCTCCACTATCATGGCTAAAGTCCAAGAAAGAGATGCCGACAAATGTGTTATTACATCTCAGTCAACTTCTATGCTTTGCGATATCTGTCTAGACCACCTGCTTCAAAAGTTCAGTCATAAATTTTAGTTGAGTCTTCTCGGATGGTGGGATTTTGAGACAGTACAGAAATGGAAGCTGCCATTGTTTCCCAATCATCCACATACTGAGGCGGTAGAGACTATCCAGAATTATATCTCTTTGAGTCCGGTACTGCGAAAGTATTGGGAATGGGGGGACTTTGTACTCCGACCTCATCCAAGAGGTAGGAGATGTCGCAGGGAACTTTATGTGCAAATTTTCTGGTTGCCTTTGCAGGATCATTGCTGGAGCAACAAAATCCGTGTATTCAGCAAGCCCCCTCGCATCAGAAAGGGGACCACAGTCAAATTGGTTGGATTGGAATCGGAGGAACTCAAGGATTTGAAATCTGGGGTTTGGATCAGTTTGACAACTCCCGATCCAGAGAGACTGCCGCTGCCGAGCTGGGATCTTCTAGAGTTCCGGTTTATTATGACGATTTTTGCTCGATTTGCGGGAAATGTCGTGCCAGAGGAGGGATGCAACCAGGATAAATAGATTGAAAGGATTGTATTGAGGATGTTCGTCTTTTGTTGGGAATGTTTCTTTGCGGGGAGACTGTTAATGGATGGAAGGAGCGATGACAATGAAGTAGGTGGAGAGAGATAACCCATATTAAGTATGGAAGGTTTACTGCCTGAACTACACAGCCCATAGTAAGGTATGGGTATGAAGCTGTATCTATAGCGAATTAATATCCAAACATAATGCCCAAATCTCTCTCTAAATGATCTAAGACCACATGCTTCTATCCTCCCACCTTGGCTGCAAATAACTCCAGTCCCGATCGAACTGAAAGTCCGCTTGATACAACCCGTAAGTAAACAGCTCCACAGTGTCGAGCTTCGCACCGGCATCTGTTTGCGCCCACACACTCAAGGCTAATGTATTCTGACCCCGGTCGTTGATGATTCCCGGAGGGATAGGAAACTTCGTCTGCGGACCAATGTGAGGGACGTATTTTCCGTATTGATACTTTTACAGGGCAAATTAATGTTAGCATATCAACGGTTCATACCATGTTGTGAAATGGACCTAAGACTTACCCCATTGACCCAGATCATTACACGTGCTATGGTGCCATTTGGCGCTGAGAGAGAAACACCAATGGGTGCGTCTAGATCACTGTCGATATCAAGATTGAATGTTGTGACGTAGAAGCGGACACCAGATTGTTTGATTCCGTCCAGCGGACTGGAAGTACTACTAAACTCCGTGTCATCTGAAGCTGGAAAGCCAGGGAGGAACCAGCCTAGTCGTTCAGCATAGAGGCCACCCTCATTCATGGGTCCACGGACTGGGTCGATATTCTTCGAACCGCCAGCATTACCTTGAATCTTCCATAGTTTGAACCCGGTTGCTGTTCGTGTACCTCCTGGAAGGAGATACGCGCCGAGAATGCCTCTGGGATTTTCAGCGCGGTTAGGGATATCAGTTTCATCGTGGCCATGGTAGTCAACTAAGACTGTGATGGGACGCTGGAAGCGTTAGAGTCGAATTTGTGGCTGATAGATCGGGATCGCCAGGGTGGCCCCCAATGAGATGCCCGTTCAGCCATGCGTTCCACCCAAACGCAAGACCTCCAGCGGCAGTAATGTTAACTGCAGTGTAGTTAATGCCATCAAAGTAGCCACGGTATATTTTGGCGCCGGCGTAGTAACCATAGTCGGAGCTAAAAAGAACTGGCAGGGTAAGAGGAGCTTGTGGGCTGAGGGTACTACTCTTGTTTGCGACCGTCCATCTGGAGTCGTCAAAATCTGGCTGGATTTCAGGGAGGGATTCTGCTGAGTGCCAGTGGTTCAAAGGTGGAAGTGTTACTGATCGGTTTTCTGTACCCGGTATTTGGGCTGTGTAGGAGCCATAGGGCGTCTTGGTGGCTGTGAGTATCTGGCCGTTCCATTCGACTGCCTTGATTGGCACATCGCCGATGAAACTTTCCAACGTCATAGTTCCGTTGTTGTCTCCGGACACCTGAAGCACTTCGTTATCGACTGATGTAGACCTGACTAGGTACGGGCCGAGAATGAAAAGCTTCTGGTCTGGCCTAGGAGAAGGGTACTTTGATGTTGACGGAGCCCAGAAATGCCATGCTGTAGGTTGATCAAGCAATAGGACAATGATTCCATCTGAAAAACGAAGGACAGTAGAACCAGAAGACTGTGTGTACTTAATTTTCTGATAACCAGGATGAAGTGTGGACGACACGGTAGACGCGCCGTATACCTCAAACGTCGAATTATTAGACGTTGTTAAAGCAAACTCGCCGGTTTGTCCTTCCCACAGATAAAGAGTTAGAACGTCGTGGCCGGGCAAGACAGCATTTGTGAGTACATCTGTTGACGAATACAGCAGAGTTTGGTTACCAAACTTATAGTCTGTAACTAGAATCTTGCTCTGGCGCTCTTCAAGCTGGATACCTGGAACAGTCACATTGCCAAGGCTGGTGTTCAAGTAGGCTGAAAAGGTGATGGTAGCGGTTGATGGAGTTTCATTCTGCTGCAGCACGGTGAATGTTGCCTGGGTATCTGGGTTCTTCAGGACCCAGCTATAAGCATCGGGTGTTGAGAGCTGCTAGCTTATTAGTATGTTGCATATAATGGTCCGGATGAAATCCTAACACTGAAGCCCGACCCATTCCCATGCATATTAGTCTTGAGCAAATGAGGTGCTGATCCTGAGAAGAGTTGTATTAACTTCTTTTGCCAAAGTTTGGCCCATTGCTGGCGAGTTTCTCGAAGGGGAGTCCTGTTCGTATGGTAAGCCACAGCTTTAGCAACTCAATATGAGGGGAGTTTACATATAGTCATTGCTGGTATACGCCACCGGGCAAGCAGCTGTAGAGTGTTCAATCATTAGTTGGCAATGTTGTTGGCAACAAAGCATTCCACTCACAGTGGCCCCAGTTGGTCCCCCCATAGCCTTCGTATATACTCTGTAGCGTCACGCGCTGGCCAATGTTGTTCTTGTAGTAGATGTCCACAAAGGTAGTACTGTGCTCGCTTCGACACTAAGTGACTATTAGCTTTCAAGTAGACGATGTATAGCTGTGATATTGTTGCTGCTCGACTGAGTGACCACCCACATCATCATAGTTTTGCGGTGCACCCCAAGTCAAAGTACGCCCGCCCTCAAACTCAGCGAGGTATATTGGACCAGACCATGCATAATTCATGAACCACTGATAGTAAGTCCGAACTACATCAAAGCCAGTCGCTCCATCACATTTGTTCCCGACAAGGAATCCTGCAGGGTAGTCGTCAAAGCTATAAATGTCGACTGCGCCACTAACGTTTTCGTAGTTCCTTGACCAAGATATATATCTCGTGCTTTGTTCGTTGTGAGTCGTAGGAACCGTTATTCCCACATCCCTAATAACCGATTCAAACTGTTCCATATATGTAACGAGAGTATTGTTGGGTTTATGGCTGGTCTCTCGTAGCTCATTTTCTACCTGGAAGAGTATGACGGGCTGTACGCTACAGGTCAGCATGCCACACTCCAGCCACCAGAGAACAGCTGTACACATACACCACCTTTTGTGATCTGGTTCGCTGCAATGATCTGTCCGACTTTCCTCATATATGGAAGCCATGCTTGATGATAGGCCTCATCTGATGTCCGCAGCTTTCCCATGGAGCCATCGGAACCCCATAGAGCTAAACCGCCCGCATTAGTTTGTGCCTTTTTGGGATCTATCAGTCAGTCTGCTCCATGTAACCTCGGGTTGTGAGCGATTATAGCTGCTTACGTTGACATAATGGCCCGGTCGCGCAATTACCCATAGGCCTGTCTCCTTGGCCATATCGAACAGACGCTGTATGTTATGTGCCCCAGTGTCAAAATCATATGCGTCCCTGGAAGCAGAATGATAACTCCAGAAGAAGTAGACACTATGGCGGAGATTACTTGAATGTCCAGCCAGCAGAGAAGCAAATCACGAACCTAATTGTGTTGAAGCCATTTGTCTTTAACTTTTGCAGCACATCCTGGATTGACGAAGCCTCAGTCTTCGAACCTGACCGAATAAAAGGAATAATGCTGACTCACCAGCCACATTTCAGGGACGGGCAGTCTCTGGTAATGAAACTCAGCAGCACTTATGGAAAGTGATCAGCCACTCGTGGAATCAGTACCGCAGACAATCCACATACTTGATGAACACCCTCTCCCCATTGACTATCAAGCTGTATTCGTCCCATGTCACATCCCCACTTGAGTTGTTTGATACTAACAGCGCCTGACATAAGGTTGCTAGAGCGACCACGAGTTTCAGCAGCACTGGAAGCCTCATCCTGGCCAAAGACGTATCCTAAGATTTAGCTCACTGATGAAATTAAGGTTCTAGAAGATAATGAAGCGGGCCAAATACATACCACACCTTAAGTATCAAGACCCAGCAGCAGCGACTCTAACAATACCCCGATATTGCTATGCATGGTTATTGCTTCCCCACTCTTATGCACGGTAAGCAAGACCCTGCAGATGGAATGAACACATTTCCACCAATTGAGCATTCAATAAGTTGCGGACCCCGCACGATCTGCAGTGTGTTCGTGAGAGCTCAAGCTTGTGGAGGGTCAGGGTCCTGTAGGGCAGGAGACAGTATATGGAACTAATGCACAAACAATATTGAAGCCTAATGGTGTGTGCCAACAGACTCGGTGTAGAGGAGACGGAAGAGTTCTGTTATGTTGCGTAAGTCATGACAGTCTTGCGTGCAATGCGCTTTGTAAAAGCCTGCAGTTGACCTGTTCTCAGATCTCTTGAAAGATCATTATTAGTCTTACTAATGTCCATTATACCAGTCTTTTTCAACATTTCCAATTGAGCACTCACAACAGCCTTTCCAACTGCTCTCACTAGCTTCACTCGAAGCATTGCTCGGCTGTAGCCAAAGATAATGCTTCTTTCGAAGACGTCCTAGTCATCCGTCAAGCTTGTAAATGGTGCTAAGAAATGCAATACCGTCATCGGGAACACCATATTCCATGTGAACAGTATGCTCATCACCACCAATACCTCTGCTTATCGAGTTGATATACATAGCACTCTAAATGTGCTGATAACAAAGTAGGCGCTATTAATACCTGGCAATATGCTCACAGAGTGTCTGTGGTGCCGCTGAATGCAGTGAACAGATGATTGCTGTGTCAACACCCGTATCGACGATGTTCAATTAAATAATGGCAGAAGATTCGCTTGTAAGCGATACCAAATGTTCTTGCGCTGATGCCAATAATTCTGTTGAAGCACTGTCATAGGGATCGACTGTCTTTTGTATCGAATTAGTCCGACAGGATCTAGAATTGAAATCAGTAATGTCTGTCTTTTTGTAAATAGTCCTGCCATCAAAAGTAGTTAGTTTAGCATAGTTAATGATTTCAGCTGAGCATACTATTACAAGGAATCAACATGTCACTGTACGTCACGGGACTAGGTTGTCGCCTGTGGGCTCCTAACATAGTACCATTTTACTGGGCATTCTTTTGATAATCTTCAGAGTCATGAAGTGCCTTTGACATTCATGGAGGTGGTAATACGAGAACCATGTATAAATTATAGCAGACGTGTAACATGGCAGTGTATATCTATGTCTATCTAAGACACATAACGCTCATAAGTTCATCCAAGTTTATCCTTCTATGCTTTTACTCTATTTCTTCCACAGTTGCCTTCTCCTCCATGACACGCTCCATGGCCCTATCTCCCATGGGCTTGTGCTTCGACATCGACACCGCAGAGAAGATGGTGGGAGCGTCACGGAAGATCTCGTCAACTTCTTCAAGGGACCGGCCCTTTGTTTCTGGGTAGAACAGGTAGATGATGGGAGGGATAATGCCACCGATGATGGCGTAGACGATATAGTAGCGATAGCCGATGTTGTCAATAGCGACGGGCGTGATCATTGCGACGACAAACATCCTGAAGGAGAGAAGAGTTAGTATAAGTTGGAAGGCAATTGAATAATCATGAGTGAGAGCCATACCAGAGCCATTGATTGGCAATCGAAATCGCTTGCATGGCGACACGAAGACGCGCAGGAGCAATCTCGGCTGGGTAAAGGAAGTTGGCGCCCAAGAAGCCGATCGGAAGGAAGAAGTTGTAAATGAAAATGAACAGGGCGGAGATAATGGATGCGGTATGGTTATTGGAGAAGGAATTGGAGACCGCCAATGCCAGCATGCACATGCCCATGCCACCGCCACTGACCATGAACGCTGTGCGTCGTCCCATGCGGTCAATGATGGCAAAGCCCACAAAACAGCACAGGAATTTCCAGGTCAACGCGCATGCCGCAAGGATCTTCGACAGACTGGTACCGAGTCCAAGATCTGTTTGGAAGATAAGAGGGATGTAGACCGAGATCAGAGTTCCACCAGTCATTTGCTGGAAGAATTGGAGAGTGACACACAGGATAAACCTGTACAGGAGCTTCTCTTCTCCCATAGTGAAAATGTCTCGGAGCTTAAGTGAGTTGTTCGAGGATTCCTCTAGAGAAAGCTCATAAGCCCGTAGCTCTGCGACAACCTCCAACGAGTCTACTTCTTGTCCTCTCAGAGACGCTAAAGTAAATTGTGCCACGTCTGATTTGTTCTTCATGACGAGCCAACGGGGCGACTCTGGGAGGAAGAAGATGCTGCCCATTATTATGAACGAAAACAAGGCGGGGATGGCAAGTGATGCTCTCCATGAGGCAGGCGAATTCTCCATGTGGTAGAAACCGAAATTCACCCATTGCGTCAAAGCGAAACCAAACGCGATGAACATGCCTGTCAACACCACGTTCCGTCCTCGCTGGGCGGCAGGCGCGCACTCGGATTGCCAGACAGGTACAGTCGCACTGAGCATGCCAACACCAAAACCCAAAATCACTCTCCCAACGACGAATTGAGCTAGAGAGTAGGCGGTGCATTCCAGTATCTGACCGATCAATGCAATGAGTGCGCCAGAAAAGATCGATCGGCGACGTCCAAGCATGTCACCGATCATTGTACAGATCAGGGACCCGAAGAGGGCTCCTATTGTGTACGACGCAACCACGGCTCCTTGAACGGTGGCATTGTGAGACTCTTGGGCCCCAGTAGTGTTGACTGTGTCAATCTCCGGAAATACCCTCACCCAGGAGGGGAAGTCATCGAGTCCTCCGACACCGGACTGATTGTAACCGAAAAGGATAAAGGAGGGACAAGCGACTAAGAAGATCTGGGCATAACGAAGTGCTTGGCCCTGCATTGTGCCGAATTGCCTGTACCACAAGGACTTTGGCTTTGCAGGAAAGGCAGCAGAAGGTAAAATAGGGGAAAGGAGAATGGAGGGAGAGAGAAATAGCCATTTTCAAGTCCGGGGGCTTGCTCATAGAAAAAGAAACAGGCCAACAGCTAGCCCGAAAGCAATCAGTCGCGGGGTTTCTGTAAGCTCTACATGGGCTGATGATCAATCCGCTTCTCCGGTCAATGGAGACCGGACTGCTGCCGACCGAGCTGGTCGAGATGACGTCCAGAGGCCTGCCGTGGACCCGCATGCAAGTGAAAGACGGATGCCGATGTGCGAGTCACATAGCGGAACCCCTGGTTAGTACGAAATACTCCGCATGGGAACCAGGGCCGAGAGAGAAAGATACCACAGCTTCTCACCGGGGTAGTGGTATGCTCGGGCTGACCTGGGCCGTACGGTGTACGGCTTTGTAACGTGTCTGATATCCCACCAGTCGCCACATGGCTGGATCTTATGCAAAGCAGTTGCTGATTGGCCTTGGTGTGCTAGCGCGGCGACTCTCCAACAGCCGGGGTGGTTGCTAGCCTAGCTCCAGTCGCTACCCGGCCACCAATTGGAGCTCTAGGTTGTCCTGGGGCACGCCAACCGTGGTTCCTATTATCTCCGCAATAAGCACCCCAGGCTTTAGCCCCGCGTCCAGGCACTTCGATACAGGCCAGGCCCACGTTACTGGCTGTATTGTGTCTTAGAAATTGGAATCCATTATCCGAGGGGTGCGAGCAACGGATGTTGTCCGAGCCCCAGGCCCACCACCCCGGTCTGAAAGAAATCTCAACTTGGGCGACTGATTGGGGAGCGGCTATACTAAGGTTATTACACCGGACGCGGGATGAAATCATAAACTAGTAGAGTGGCAGAGGACTTACCCAGTCACAATTAGTCCTCGATGCATCCGAGGGGGCCTAGTGAAAGAAGACAGGATGAAGAAAAAGCAGAGAAAGGTGAGCTGGGAAGGCATCTGAGCGGTCAGGCCATGGGAGGGAAGATGTCATGGCGCGCTGATGTTGGAATTTGGGGGGGCCGCGTGACTCCACGGGACTTTCCCCACCAGTGTGGGAAAAGCATTACTACCAGCCAAGCCGGGCAACTGGAGCGCAAGGCAAGTCGAGTGGTCCGATCGGGAAGTCAGATTTTGATCTCCTTCTTGTCCCGGAGATTTTCCAATGGAGTCTGGAAATGCTTAGCTTGCTTGTTGTCGGCGTGGCACTCTCCCTACCGTCGAATGACCCAACGCCACCGAGGCATTTAATAATCGCGCGCCCACCAACTAACCAGTTCACTTTGCCGATGTGCCGCGGAATTGCTTATTTTTCTCAGAGCATACAAGCTGTCCGATTTTATTGCTTATCTTTTACGGTGTGAACTTTCGAGTCAGTAAGCTTTCCCTGGTAAAGTTAAGGTCATGTGTAGTATCCCATTTTTCCCATTGTCGCCATATCCAGTCCCGAACATAAGGTTCCGGTGGAATGTCATCATGCATGGTGAGGCCCTCCATCACCCGGGCTCAAAAGCCAGTTCAGAAACGCCAAGACTGTTTTAGCCGGTCTCGAAAATACCTGACAAGCTCAATGTTGAGGCCGTGGGCGTGGGGTGGCGGTAATTTTGCTTCCCTGTGGGCTGAAGCAGTTTTACCCACTCCCATCGCAATTCCTCCGAGCGCATTCAGACCGAGGACGTCCAATTGTCTTGAAAGGGGACCAATGTACTCAGTGTCAGACCATGAGCACTATGCAGGACGCAACCACTAATTGACACTATAGAAGTACGACTGCAATGTAATCCGAGATAGTGTGCAGCGGCATGCACCACCGTGGATAAATCTTTGAGCGCCGCCCCTCTCCCCTTCATGCAATGCTGTTTACCTCATTGCATGTCCAAGTCAGACGTCCTATACCCTACTCGGCCGTGCTAGTCCCAGAATTAAGACCGATTTAGTGACACCAAGTCCGAGATTCTGCCGTCTTGGTCTTTGCTCATACTCTGCCCTTTGCCCGGTATGAAGGCCGGTCTTCGTCA